ACAGTTGTTTGCGATCCGCCATTAACGAAATGAAGAAGAAGAAGAAGAAGCTGAGAGGTGCATACCACCACCTACAGTACACAAGTGAGTAACTCCACATCCTCCACCTACTAAAAACAGCTTATTCTGCTATTGATTCTTATTTGAGCTTCTGGTACCCAGGTGCTGAAACCAGGTGCCTGGTTGGCACGTTATTTCAGCACCTGTGAGAAACCTGTGGTTTTCCACAGCATCTCCAAGGTCTGGGAGTAAACCCTGTTCCCCAAGAGGGTGGCGTGTGATCAACCTATTGAACAGCATGAGCAGGAGGTTCCAGACTGTTGTTGCTGTATATGGTTCCTCCACATGCTACTTTTTGTTAAATAAATAAATTGATGAATTGACAATATTTCTTGTGTCTTCAGACTTTAATCCTCTAATCCAATAAACATCAAACAAGAGTTTATAGCAGAATAAGCGGTTTGGCATTATAAGATTTAGCAAGATTTTCTTGGGTGCCATGATGCCACACACTACTTTGCTGCTTAACCTACAAAGCATTTTTAATGCCATTTCTAAACAAGCTTTCCAATGTTAAGATGTATTGCCAAGAAGCATTGTTACAAAGAAATAATCACCCATACTCTCTGTGCTACATGCATTTCTTAAATCACTTTAAGATCCATTAACGCTTTCAAAAATGTCTAAAATGCATGATTTACTATAATTGTTTTAAATATTGTCCCTGTTTACTCTTTTTACTTACTGACGTTTTGTTTGAGAATTTAGACTGCATTTTATTATATTTGGATTGGTAATTCATTCAAATGTATAATTTGGACTTGTTACTTTTCTATGTAGCTCAGTGAGGTGACGTGCTGCGAACTGATCGTGTATAAACAAACATTTGAATCCAGAATATATATATATGCTCTGGCACATCTCAGTAAAACACTGAAACAAATATTCTTGCTATGTTGTTTGTGATTTTTTTCCCCCCAATACTGTCTCAGGGATCTCATATTCACAAATAAGAACAAGATAATAAATAATTCAACTTTGTCTCGGCCCTGCATGTGCGACATCTCTTCAGTTTTGACGTTTACATTTGAGATCTTATTGCATGCATTATCTGACCTTTTTTCATAATAAGTATGTAAGGAATTGTAAATTAAAGAAAAGTACTGGTAAAAAAAAAAAAAGAAAAAAAAAAAGCCAAATGAATTTACTGGTTTTAACTGAATATAAACAAGGTACACATTTATTGAATGAAAACAAAACAAAAATCAGCAGGTATTCCACAAAAGAAGATTGAAATTACTCTCTTTTTTGCTTTCTTTTTGATTTGTGGGTTTGCGTGGGGACTGAAGCTTGTGCTGTAGACAAAGAAAGACTCCATGTTGAAAACTGTTTCAGAAGTCAGGATATAGAAAGCACAAACAATTCCCATACCTGCCCTTTTGCTAGCTTCAACCTTTGCCAGACTCTCCTTTACCTCCATAATTTCAGCAGCTAGGCTTCTTGATTTATCTGCAGCAGCCTTGTTCCTTTTTTCTAAAAGACTCATTTGAATCCTTAGAGAAGAAGCACACAAAAATGTGTTAGTTTGTGTTGTACATATCCTACTTCAAACACAAGTCCACATTACCTGTCTGAGGCAGCCTGACTTTGCAGATGCTCAGAGAGTTGAGTTTCCTCCTGCAGAAGAAAACCTAGCTGCTTTAATGCTTCGACAAGTTCAGCGTTTTCCATCACCAGCTCCTTTATACGCTCAGTTTCTCTCTTACTGCAGATAGAAACATCAAATGCATATAAAATGTTAAAAATTTATACACCAAAATCTCTGTTTAGTCAAAGTTCAAATTGTTTAAACCTTGAAGATTCTTATTGCAAAATAGCTTTCAAATAGCTTTAAATGTTTGCCATGTTTTTACATTTGAAACTTATATTGACTGCTTTGCTTTACTTTACAAAACTTGTGCTAAAAACAGAACTTTTCCTAAGTTTTGACTTTTTAAAACCTTCTCCACAATTTTTGCCATTTTTCGAAGGCTTAAACTTTCACCATTAGTCTTATCTGCACTTCATCAAGAGGCAAGCATATAGAGATTTGTTCCTTCATTTTACACCCACTTAAACAAACTACTTTTGTTATAATCAAATGTTTTGGTCCAGTATCAATCAAACTGTACACTTTTCCAAAATATTTCCTGTGTGTCTGGATGGCTGGTGATTCTGGTCAGAACAATAGTATAAAAAGTTCTGCTATGATGCATCTCGCATTCATCATATACACAACAAACTGGGCTTTAATAATTGCTTACATTTATTTTCATTACTGGAACTTAGTTTCTAATAGCTGTTTGGATAAAAGATTAATATTACCACAATACTCCAAAAAAGTAAAATAAAAATTATTGTTACAGAGTAAAACTCTTTGAATCAAAACTGAAAATTTGCTAAAATAACAACCTACATTTTGTGTGTTTATTTTTTATTTTTTTGTAATTCTGAAGCTGAAACCGTCATCACCGACTCCCTTTTATAAAATAATTTTTTGAGGGTTTTTTTGAGTCTTTATTTTAATAATAAGATAAATATTTTGTTATATTAACAAAAAGGCAATCATACAATCGTAAAAATAAAATAAGCCACTTTTTTGTGTCCTTATGAAAGACCTGCAGTAACATTTTTCTCTTATATTTCTGTTTGATTTTACACTTATTATGTTCCCCTGTATGTTATTAATTTTGAAACAAAAAACTAAA